ATTTGCAAAACCTCGCTCATGCAGATTATTTAGTTTTCTCCCAAGTGGAAAGGGGTTTCAACAATTATTTTATCTGGAATTGTTATCTATCTATCTCGACAACTTCAGACATGTAGACCTTAGTACATACCACTAGAAAACGAAGACAAATGCCCTGCATTCCCAAACCATTGCTGTAATTGAGAACTAACCATCCAGGGACTGACAAGCACATTTAAAACATATGGAAATGCAACATGGATGATCGTGCTGTGAATTTAACCGTTGTGAACTAAACTGCTTGATGAGCGCTTCAAGGGCAACTCTTCCAGTGCACGATGTTGGCGTAGGTTAAAACAGGCAACTGTTCCTCCTACCACCACCGTTTTACTGAATCCTCGATGCTCACCCTCTCCCTTTCTGCTCCTCCAGATGTATTTACTGAGAGTAGCAAACACTTGAGAAACACAACTTGAGTGCTCACTTGAGCTCGGCATCCACCCGGCTGTGCCAGCAGCTGTTTTGGGCCAGGAGAGGCAGCGGTGGAAGCTGCCATGGTGTGGGCAGGAGGAATGCAGAGAATGAAAGCTGGTGTTTCTGGGCTCCTCACACTGCAGGTCTGGAAACAGACGGACACCAGGACACCACATCCATGGTAACACAAAGTAAACTTTTAACCAGGACCCTCGGGTCAAGTCACCATTATGCCAGCGGGGCAGCTATCACAGATGGGCACTGGTGTGACTGAAAGGAGAACTGGCTTTCGCTTTGATTGTTTGGGGTTTTTTTTGCATTTTTTGTGGTTTGCAATGTCCACAAAGAAATGCTTTGGTGCAAGACATTTTCAAGTGAGAAATGACAGATTAGTAAGTGTTTGAGGCACAGCCAGCAAATTCCATGAGTTATTCTAGAGACCTCATTCACTACGCTGATGATCCGAAGTACGTTTTATCAGCTTTTAAAACACATTTAGCTTGGCCAGTCCAAATAAAGCATTTTATTGATGATATTGAGTAAGATGCTGTCTACACTGGGTGCCTCGCCCCATCAGGACATTTACTTGGCATGGCTGTGCCCTAACACGCCTTCAGTGCAGGGACGCTGTCCTGCACATGCCAAGCACAGCCCGACTCACGTTCCCAAGTTCCACGTTCACAAGACCCACGCTAGGGAAGCGTGGCCTTACATAGCCTGGGATAGTAGCTTCCTAACGTGATTCCGTAAGCTCATTGCTCACTCACAGTGCATAAACTTAAAGGTGTTAAACCACAAGCTGCCAAACCTTGCAATGTTTGCAATGTCAGAGTCAGAGACATATTGCAAACACAGTGGAGGAGCCTACGTACATGTGAATCGTGTCGTTCTGCAGCAAGGCAGTAACAATGCAAAACCCTCCTTTATTTTTGACTATCTGTTTCTTGGAACCATGCTCCTGAAAATATTTTGGGGCAGGGTTTTAAAGGCCATTCTTCTCCACTGGCTGAGCAAACTGTGTGACGGAGCAAACCAGATGGATACAAGGTACTCCAATTTGGCTTTAATACTCTATGAGAAACAGAGGCTTGGCAAGGATTTAGCTTACGACATGTTTGCCAAGTATCCCAGATAAAGCTGCCACAGTTAGTCCTCACCAGCCAAGCAAATAACATCTCATGATGTCAGGATGAGCCCTGATCAAACAGCCTTGATAAGACAGAGCCTTTGAACACCCAGGTTGAGCCTGTCTGCCTGCAAGGAAACGCCTGACCCAGAAGTCACTGCCACTTCATTCCCACTGTCTCCCCCCATCCCCATCGACAAATTCATTGCTGGAAAGAGACGAGTGCACAACACAGACCTTCTGTCACAGCCCAGAATGGCACCCTGGGGCGGTGAGCTATGCTGAATATTACTGTGGATGGCAGCTGCTGCCACGCTTCGCTTTTCCAGGAGTTTTCATTTCCCGCTGCCTTGCTGGGGTACAGTTCACAATCTCTGCTTGTCATCACGCTCTTGGACACCTCTGAGCTTGTGAAAAGAGTGACGCTGCCAGGGGATGGGGGCGAGGGTAGGAGGCAACAATAAAATATTAAACTTGGACAAAGCAGTCATGAGCCGGATGCGGAAAGAGTTTCTTCCTATGTCTGGTTATGCTCAACTTCCAAGTCAAGGATTCTGAAGAAAGAGGAAAAAAAAGTGTCATTTATTATCATGTCAGACAAGCATAAGGTGATACTTTAAAGCTTTTATTCAGCTGCTTATGGCTATTGCCAACATAGTAAATTCCTCTCCCAGGAGATTTCCGCTTGAATGATGAACATCCATTTAAGAATGGTGCTGAAACTCAAGGCTGAATAATCTTGATTCAACCCAGGAAGGAGGACACAGAGTGAGGCCCCTTCTTAGAGTCAAGCAGGACTGACAGCAAGAGGAGCTGAACTGCAGAGGTGAATCCAGGCAACCTCCCACCGAGAAGCAGCAATGCCCATCTCGCTGAAGACCTCAGTTTGCTGAAGATCACAGTTCACGCTCAGACCCTGCAATCACCACTCTGATGAAACATGTTAGGGAACCTGACCCTTCAAATAGGTGTTTTATTTACATGGTGCCTCACCAGGTCCTGGAGAGCTCATGAATAATTAAACAGAGAACATAAAATATGAATGGGATGATCACCAGCCCATAAAAGCCTTGCAGTTCTTGAAAGGTGTTTTACGCATAATGAATGCTGGATTTTAGAAAACAGGTTTCTGCCTCTTTTTCCAACGAAAGTGTAACCATTTTCAAGCCTCTGTGTAAAATGAGGAACCTTCAAGGATGTGCCTGGGAGTGCCAGGGAAGAACACAAGCCCATTAATAACCAGTAAGCAAACTAAACAGAGACAAATATGTGGATATAGTGAAAACACATAGATATCTAACTTGATACTGCACTGCCAGAGAAAGAAAAGGACTGAAAGAAAAGATGAATGTTTGATCAGAACTACAGGACTCATCTTGCAGTCACATGGTGATAACAGCTCTCATCTTAAATTCTGCCCCATATATGTAATATTTAACTTATGTTAGCTCTTGATGACTCTTTTCTTTTATTCTGGGTGCTGTGTACAGGTGTTTTTAGCTGCCCTTTCTGAACTTTCTGGTTCTGTGGCCTAAATGGTGTGTTCTCAGTTTTGAGAAATTACCCTGGAAGCAATCATAGCCCTAGAGCCCTACTGCTGAGATCTATCAGCTGAGAGTCAGCCCTAGTATGCTTAAAATCAAGTTTATAATATGGACCCTATGGATCAGCGTTTCCTAGGCTGCCAAAAATTTTGGTGGCAAAGGAAATTGCTGCCAGTGCAAAGCACTCCCTTGTTCTAGGCATTAAAAGTATTGCAGAATGACCATAGATTTGAATAAACTTGCTGTTTACTTCATGGAGGTCTTTTCACCACCCTGTTAGGCTATGTGCTATGAACTGTCATTTTGTCTTAGATGTTACCAAAAAAATCACAGAAGGATGAGCAAAGAGAAATTATTAGCTCAGGAGAGCCCTTTCTTCTCTCTAAGGTAATTTGGGAAAGGATCTGTCACATAACAACACTTCTTGAAGTTGTCAGCTGGATTCCTGACAACCGTTCTTATCTACCAGGCCTTGAAATGGTTGTGTGAAAATGGCTTTTTCCCTCCCTCCTCCCTCAAGCTACAGGAAGAAAACAGGCTTTTGAGAAAAATTCACATTTTAAAAGGGAACCAAATTTCACATAATTAAAACCGATTTCAAGTAAGTAAATGGATTTTTGCATTATGTAGATTAAAGGAATCGTGAGTGACAGCCCCACATCCATGTCGGAAAGAGGTCAAGCACTACACTTCTCCATGTTCACAAGGCTCACATGCTCTATCAACAGCTGTATCTACACTAAATGATGTTCTTCTCACGCACCAATTACAAGCTGTCAGAAAATATATGTGTGATCCTTCACATCAAGACCTACTCATGCAATTTTTAAATACCATGGTGTAAGCTGCGGTACTTATCCTAAGGGCTTCATGTATTGGAAGCAGAAAAAACTGTTATCTACTATATCATCAATACCAAAGGCTCCATGAATATAGTTCTTTTTCAGGAGAATAGATGCAAAATAAACACCGCTTTTATTAAAAGCAGGATATCAGTTTTTACCAGGGCTAAATTTGTTCTGCTTCTGTCCATGAAGTGATTGATTTCCAAGCCTAGATGCCACACATTCGTATTAATTATCTTTACTTTAAAGCAGTGATGTACCCCTCCAACCAAGGCAAACCGCACAACTGATTTCCAGCTCCCAGTGCCAAACCGCAGGGCAAAACCCGCTGCAGAGGAGCCAAATCCGGGACAGTCAAAGAGGACAGAAAACTTAAAGCTTGTGAAATGCTAGGGGGTCACCTGGAGCAAACTTTTATGGTCCCAACAGAAAGCTGGGGAGGGGGGAAATAAGACTGCTAGCAGGACCACTGGCTCCGCTTTGCTTTCCTGATACTTGGGGGTGCCTACGTGCAAGGGAAGGGAGCGAGAGGGAGAGTAAAGAGGGGAAAACTGTAGCAGTATAGTGTAAGTACAGTGTACTCCTAATTAGTTTCAGTTCAGCCTGTTATCTAAGCAACTGTAATTAAGGGTTGAATACTTTTCAAAGTTTTTTACTAGCATTTAAAACATAGCAGAAATGGGAGAAAACAAGCTATTTACAAAGCAGGAATCTGCAAAGGACAGACATCCTTCACAGACGCTGACTCTTTAATTTCATGTGGGGGGTCTGATCTAAATCTGGCAAGCTGCCTGCATTTATTTGCTTGTATTTTGTTTTTTCTAATGACAGGGGTTTCTGCTTTGCGAAAAGGCCATACTGGAACACGTAGTATATAAAATACATTTTCCTTCAGCCCTTCATGAAAAGACTAAAATATACTAAGAAAGCCAACTGCTCGCTAAAGAGGAAAGAGAAATATATAAATCGACAGGGTGAGGCTTTGCACACACCTTGAGTTCACCAGGCTGCAATGCACGCCGAAAGAAGCCATCACGCCAGTTCCTGGATCACCTTGTTGGACTCCTTGGCTTTCTTACATGTGTACAGCCATTTGATGATCCGCGCGTTGCGCTCGATCACAGAGGTGCTGCTCGGGACCTGCTCTGTGAGTTCATCCTCCAGCAGCCCCTCGTCCCCGCTGTGCCTCGTGAAGTCGCTCTCGGACGTTGCCACGCTGATGCTGCGGATCTTGAAGGAGACGTTGTCAGACACCACAGAGAAGTTCTCTCTCCCGAGATCCTCGATGACCTCCTGCTCCAGGCCACAGTACTTGAAAAATGTATCAAACTCAGAGAAGGACTTGGAGTAGCGAGAGCTGATGTCCGACTGGGAGCGATGGAGACCTCTCCTCTTCACCTCCTTGACCTCCTCAGGAGGTACACTCAGTTTTGAGGCACTCTCCCACTCCTTTGTGCATACCCCTGGGGCATCGGTGCTCACGGTGATGGCTCGCTCTGCTCCGTGGTTGCTCGGCTCATGGTCACTGTCTTTTGCTGAGAGAGGCTCTTTGCTCTCGGTGGCTGCGGTGTCCTCCATGACTCTGGGCATCTCGGGGGAAGCCAACTGCTTCTCCTTTACTGACCCTTGGAAGATCCTCCTCACCAAGCTCCCCCGTGAGCTGTCCTGGCTTTGACCTCTCCCAAACTCGCATTTCTGGCGGTAAATCACCAGGGAATCCGGCCGCATCTGCCTCTTGGGGGTGCCGCGCCTGGCTATGGGGGGGCCGTGCTGCAGGGGGCCACGGCAGGAGTACACCGCCTTGGCCAGCTCCAGGGGCTTCGCGCCCTTCCCTCTGCCAAAGTCCCTGCCGATCTTTTTGCTCTCCACCGAACAGGTCTCGCTGCTGCTCTCTGAGGCTGAGCTAAGCACGATGACGGGCTCCTGCTTGGTGCTGATTACCTGCTGGCTTTTTACGTACTTGGCCTTATCGGCTGCCAGCCTCTCCACGGCACTTCTCCTGCCCGGGCTGCCTGCCTCCATCTGCCTGCGGAGGTACTCGGGCCCCTTGTTGAGGAGTCGCAGGGTGAGGGAGGCGTGGAGGTCGGAGATGGCGTGCATTCTCACGGCCCGGGAGAGTTCAGCGGGCATAGCAGTTTCGGGGACGCGGATCCTGCTTCCAGCCCTGGGAGGGAAGGAAA